AAAAACAACAATAAAAAAATTGCCTATAACATTGCTCCACGAATGCATTAGAGAACCAAGAATGCCCTCAATGATCTCTTCCTCTCTCATAGGAGGTTTTCACCACACTCAATTAGTATATGGTGATATCCTTCTCAAAACCCCCAAACAATAACTAGCTTACTTTTTTTCATAAGAAACTGAGAAATCGTATATAAAACACACAAAAAAAAGAGAGAGAAACCTAGGGGAAGGGATAGAGAAAACCTTGCCCAAAAAGCTACAAAATAAGAGCATTCCAATTACAAATAATGTTGAAGATGCCACAATTATAAAAGAATTTCTTGTGGTTAGAACACACGATGGCGAGGTATAGTGTACACCTACAGATAATGATGAAGAAGCTTAATTGCACAAGAAGCGGACATGGTGATGTAAAAAAGAACTACTGCCTCAACAAGGTACACTATACAATGTAACAAAAAAGTCGTCAGTAGCCATCTTATCTTCAAGAATCTGTTGAGTCCTCAAACACTCCCTCAGTTCCCATTTGCCTAAGGTCCCATAATTTTATCTATTCCATGTCCTCAAAAGCTCAAAGATGATGGTATTATCTATGTACTGATCACTTTATAACTTCTTTCTTCTGCCAGTTCAAAGTAAGGTTTTCAAGCTTAAGGCAGCTACAAGAGCAAGTAGTAACAGTAAACCTTCCACGAAACTTGTCATCCCATAATTTTTTAAGACTTTACTATTATTATTATCAAAGGATGGCCTGGTATCTGAAAAGCAACTAAGAAGACCTTTGTCTGGATGGAACGGATTAAAGGTGCACGTATATGATGTTTATTATCTGAGCTCTTCTTTAATATTTTTGTTGAAACAATCATAATAGCATTTCCAGGCTAACACTAGATCTCTGCTCCAATTACTGCTGAAAACTTCAACCTCGCCAATCAGGAGTTTTTCATACCTCACTTATCCCTTCTATAATCTCCAAATGGTTACCAACACAAAAGGGCCTCTTTACAATCTCAGCAAAGGACCATCCCAAGTGATTGGGCTCAAACCTTTTGTAAGAACTCTGTCAACAAAAATCTCTGATGAGGGAGCAGAAAGCCTTCCGGCCTTAGTTGTTAAAGGGAGGATGATGTTGCTCTTCCTACCATTGTTGAAGACCTTGGTCAGCTTCGCAAAGGACCTGCGTTTGTTTTGGATATTTTGGAGGCAAATTGACCCACTGGATAACGAATGGTTATAATGAAAAAAATTTGGCGGTGGATGGGGAAACAAAGAGGTCATCCAAAGAGTGTTGTCAACCCAACAACCAGATCTCTTTCCACAACAATTTCAAACAAAGAAGAGCTCTTCCTTTCCAGATTTTGGCTCTGTTTCTTCATTCTCTCCCATCATGATCATGGAGAGGAACCTTATTCTCTAGCAACCACTTGCATGGAAAGATGCCACACCCGTGACAAAGAATGCAGCTAACAAAAAGGGACATGAATGAAAGTGCTGTCAGCAAAACGGATGACAAAAAATGGGGGGCAATCTACCTGCATAGGTGGGGTGTAAGCACCATGCACTGCACATGGGCTCGTTCTTTTTGGGCGTGGGGTGAGCAGCCAGACGCTCGACTCTCAAGGGCAGTAGAAGCGGGTGGAGGAGCCTAAGGTATCATGAGCACGCATAACTACTTGTTGCTACCCGGCCAAGGCGAGATGTCATGTGCCATACCCCACCATTACGCAGTAGAGGAGCGGAGAGTAGGATGTCAAGTCCAACACAAGGTGGGCTCGCTTCAACAATAATTGCCCATGGTTGTTCGGTCCCTCAGTCTTCAATGTTTAAAAAAGAAGGATAACGAAAAATGAGGGGAGGGGGGAAGAACTAAGAGAGACAAGGGAGGAGAGCGCCATTGAATTTGGGTCATCTATTTCATAAACTTCAATGAAATAGTTTATCTAGAAAAATAAGAAACAAAACTTTCCATGTTTTTCAAATTTCAGTCTTTTTTAAATCATTACTTAATCATTTTATAAACAAATAAAAAAAATTAACCAATATAATAAACAATTTTATGAATTTTTATCTAAATTATTTAAAAATTTATCTGACAAAGATAATTAAAAAAAATTAACTAATAATTAAGTTAGTTATTTTACTACCATATTTAACGTTCAAGATATTTTTGGTTTTCTCAAACTCTTGTAGTTTGCAAACAGCTTTGCATCCTCAACCAAATACTTTCTAGGTTTTAAAAAGTTTCCAATTAAATTGTCATTTCCCAAACACTTGTTAGCTTTTAAATCACATCTAGACCCGTGGAGTAAGTACATGGCAATTGCCCTAATCCAAAGAATACTGAAACAAATACGATTCTAGGTTCTAAAAAGGTTGCAGATAGAATAAAATTTCCATATCTTAAATGTTTCAAATTCTTAGATTGAACCCTCAAGAGAACTGTATGTGCACAATAACTCCATTTGAAAGGATACTGATATCCAAGCAGCACTTCTGGAGATCTGTAGTAGCGGCTCTGCACAAGAGGAAGAGGTATAAGAAACAGAGATCATCTTTAGAATGTTGAAGATGAAATGGAGACCACGAATTACCTGGATGTATGAATAAACAGTGCGGTCTTCCATGCAAGCTGATCCAAAGTCAATTATTTTAACTTCTGCCGGCTTTGAATTGCTGTTTCCAAGAAAACAGTGAAAAACAAATATCAAAAGGCTTGTGTAGGCATGCAAAGGAGAAAATTTGAACAAAAAGGGGAAAAACAAAACTTTATCTCCACGACTTACCTCGTGCATAAAAGAATATTTTCTGGCTTTAAATCACAATGAATAATACCAGCATCTTTTAATAGAGCAAGCCCACATAAGATCTTCTCCGATATAAACAAGAAGATGTAAGTAGCCATCAGTGGAACATAAATTATAGTTCATTTGAAAATTCAAACCCTAAAAGAATTATTATACCTGTTTGGATAGCATTTGAACAATGCTCAAGGACAACCCCCTAAAATGATTCATCTTGATAAGCTCATACCTACAGACGGACAGAACTTTATATAGAAGTATATATTTCAAATCACAATTCCAAGATAAAAAGAGCAGTAAGTAGTGATTTTTGGTTTGGATGCTTCAGTGGATCATACTCGGGTGTTTATGTGTCTGCTTTGAGTTTATGAAATTAAAAATGAATCCTATTTCTATGCCTTCCAATTGGACTCAAGGACATAGAGGTACAACCTAGATCTTGTTCAAGTCAAATAAGGTTGTAGCAAAAGGTAGTGACTTACAAATTTGTATCGAGCAACTCAAAGCAAATGCACAGATGACGTTGATATACAAAGTAATCATAAATACGGACAATATGATGCTTATCCTCGGGGTCATACTTCTTATTTAACTGCAATAAAACCCAATACAACAAAAATATTAGGCCCCATATGATATCTCTCCTATATTTCCAAAAACACGTGATACAGGAAAATATATGGAATCTGTAATATAATCAAATGTGATTTTATCATATCTTGTCTTTAACATAACTCAATGAAATGATCTTTTTTTTTTCTATTTGACTATTTTGCTAATGAAGGAAAACTAGCAATTTACCATTTTTTTTAAATTAGATCCTACCAGATACATTATGAGTTTACTTCCAAATTCCAATGGCAAAGACATTTTCGAATTTACCAATTCTTAAAATTAGATCCTACCAGATAGTAGATACATTGTTAGTTTACCAAAGCTTATTTCTAGATCACAAACAAATATCTCTAGTTGTTTCACTAATCCTCTATCTAAATATGACAAAAAATAGGATAGCATTGTTACCAGTGTCAAAATAGATACTTCAACCAGTGCTTGCTGATAATATGCAGGTTGGTTTTTTATGATCTTCACAGCTACAAAGCTGTTAGTTTCCGCAACCCAGCATTTAGCAACTTGCCCAAAGGTCCCATGACCAAGTAGATCTTTGACAACATATCTGACATAACCAATTAACCTAATCAAAAATATAATCTATCGAAAGGGACATAGTATATTAATTCAAAACAATATAATTTTAGAACTTTGAGGGCATATTCCTAGAGGACTTGGAAAAGTTCTTGATCCTAGTAACAAAGGTGAGATGCATACTTGAGCGAGACGAAAAAAAGTGACTCTTTCCGGCATCTAATTGTTGCAAAAGATAACTATAATATTCCTAGTATGAACAATAAATTTACAATAAAAGAAAGAGTTGGAAATAGTAGTTAAAGATTTATGTGTTCTATGCAAACTGAAAAAGATGCTGCAAGCCCCACTTTAATTTTTAAATGAAACAAATTTGTCATTGAAATTATGAAACAATACAAGCAAAATTACAAAGGCCTCAGGAGCTCATATTTTTTTTTTTTTTTGGTATGAAACAAATATTTCATTGATGGTATGAAATATACAAAAGGCCACATGGAAAATTACAAGAAAGCCTTCCAGCTTGTAATAAGTTCATTTAGAGAGTAGCTATTGAAGGGGTAGAAACATTTACACCAACCAAGAGCTAGAGTAGTAACCCTATCAAAAAAGATATCAAAAGGAGCGCTTTTTCGTTGAAGACCCTATTGTTTCTTTCCAACCAAAGACTCCAAAGGAAGGCCCGAACAAACTGGGTCCACAGAATCATTTTTCCTTTCTTGAAAGGATGACCCGCCAAAAGTTGATTAAGAAAGGTTTTTGGTTTGTTGTGTAGTGTCTTCCATCTACACATCCAAATGTGGAAAGGAGATAATTCCAAAAACGATTTGCATATATGCAATGTATAAATAGATGGCCCTGTGTCTCTGATGCATCCAAACAAAAATGGCAGCAGCTTGGGGAAAGGGTATAAAAAGGTAGTTTTTTCTGAACCCTATCTTGAGTGTTGATCGCCCCATGACTAAGCTCCCAACAGAATAATTTTATTTTTCTAGGGCATCTCCCATGCCAAATCCGGGGGATAAGAGTAGAGGCCGATAAGGTTGTGTTTGTGGTGAGGATGCGGTAGGCCGATTTTGTGGAGAAGGTACAATTGGTTTCAAGGGGCCAAATCCAATGGTCATCAAGGGAGGTGGACTTATTTTCAGTAAGGATATGGGAGAGATCCATCCAATCAGTAATCTCCTCTTCTTTGAGAGGCCTTCGGAAATTGTAATCCCAGGAGGATGTGGTTTGTGACCATAGATCAGAAATAGTGGCCTCCTTGTTTGATGAAATGGAAAAGAGGTTTGGGAAGAGGCTGTCCAAAGAGCCTTGTGTTAGCCATTTTTCATGCCAAAATCTGATCCAACTTCTTTCCCCCACTCTGAAAGTAGCAGAAGTCTTGATGATGCTAGTTTGTTTGTAGATTCCAGTCCGTGGCCCCCTGTGCAAACTGTTTTTGATGGATGGCCATATAACCGAGAGAGAACCACAGTATTTAACCACTATGAGCCTCCTCCAAAGCTGTGTAGGTTCATAAATGAATCTCCAAATCCATTTGGATAATAAAGCTCGGTTCCTATGATTGATATTTCCAACACCTAGGCCTCCTTCATTTAATGGCTCAGAAGCTCATCTAAACATCCCAACATTACTCCAACTAGGAGTATAAACCTCGAAACATATTTTTTTAACAAGATACGAAATTCTCATTGATTGATGTTCAAAGGATACAAAATCCCCAGGAGTGCGATAAAAAAATAAGGAAAAAATTAAAGAGAAAAAAATGAAAGGCCCAAAAAAAGGGATATAATCCAAATGAGCGAAAGAGATTAACAAAAATAAGGCCATAATAACTACTATCAAAACAATACTTGAAGATGCAAGTAAACAGAAAGAGAAATCTTTAAGAATCTTTAACTTTAGACACGCCAACAACGCCAACTTTATCGTCTGGATATAAAGGCTTTGAGTTCATGAGAAAATTTGGCTCGAATTTCAGCAATTTCTCTATCTCGATTAGCTTATATCTCCAACTTTCTTCTAGGGTGCTAATCTAACAAAGTAACCCATTCTTTGAGAAGCTTAACAAGCTTGGAGTTAAGAAAGGCTAAATAAGCATCCAATTGAGAAGGAGATAAGCTAGAAATGTACTTGAGGGATGAAACTATGAATTCTTTAGAAACTTCCAAAGAGAGAGATCCATGCTGCCAGGGGAAAGCCTCCAAACATATATGACATATAACAAACTTTAAAAAAAAAAAAATTTAAGTTAAATCCAAGAAGCACTTTATTTTTAACCGGAAATAAACTTTTCATTGATGGAAGAAAGGAAAAAAAGAAAATTCAAAGATCCAAACCCCCACCGGAGAGAAAAGAACCAGCAAGAGAACCAAAAAATAAAATCCCCAAAAATTACATTTGCCAAAATAGAACTTTGCTGAGCGCCTAAAGGAGAATCAAATAAGCGAAATAATTCCAGGCACAGAATTGCAGAACCAAAGAGCCACTGAATCTAAAGACCAAACCCAACAAAATGCTGGACCATTCCCAAAAGACAGAAGCCTTGACAGAAAAAACCATGAAGGCTGCTGCAATTAACACTGCTCCAACTATCTTCAAAGCCACTACGGGAAAATTGAAAACAAACCCCCTACACAGCAAACAATATGCAAAGGACGGGCTGCAATCTCAACTCAAAGATCCTCAATAACATCTGAAAAATCCTTTGAAACTTACTTTCTTAGAGATATGCTCTGCATTAAAATAGGGAGGAATTTCCCCTCGAGGGGGGTGAAAAAGCCCAATTTCGCTTGGGCCATCGAGAAGACCTTCTACAAAGTATAAACCTTCTGAAATCTGAATCAAAACGAAACTACCAAGGCTAACATTCGGATAATTACTAAAATCTAAAGATTACTCTTCTAAAGAGGCTTTATATTTAGCCACATCCAATTTCTCACACCGCCTTGAAGTTTGTCTTCGAATATTCTCTGGTTTCTTTGCCACCATATTTCCAAAATGATTGCTTTCATCATGTTTACCCTTGTGTTTATAAAGAGCGAAGGCACCCTAAGGCAAGAAGTTTCAACCTTGAGGCAACAAAAAGGCGTGGCCTCTGTGAAGTGAGACACTTAATAAACATCCCAACAAAATTCCAATAAAGATATCAAATGCTTGATTTCAACTAACGAAAGTTCTACACAGTCCAGAAGCATAGTAGACAGTGTACTGAACAGGGTTCAAGTAATGAGTACAAAATTAGAATTCAAAGTTTCATTCAAGATACACACAAACCTCCGTTGCGTATCAAAATTGAGCAAAACAAAGTTCACCGCCAAAATAAGATCTGAGTTCACATTATCATAGCCATCATTGAGAACTCCAATTGATGGGCTCGTCAGAAATCTTTTCAGATTTAATTCTTCTGAATACTTGAACTCTGGATTGCATTTTCTGTATGTTTCAACTATGTCCTTGGTTAATCTAGCAACCAGCTGAACAATCAAAAGCTTTATGTCAGAATAACAGATTGCTATTATCCATTGCATCATAATCAATTATGCGACACTATATAAATTATGTAATCTTAGAATGGACCTCGTAGTTATACAACCCATGTCAAATCAAGGTCTAATATCTTGGGTCATCTTAATAATCTGCCCAACTATATACCCATGGAAAACTTAAAGGACAACGACAAACAATAAAAAAAGAATAAGAAAACGACCAAAATTAAAAGAAAAAAATTATTATCACAATGACACCATTTTTTTTATCGAAAGAAACCGAGTTGTCGTTGAGAAAATGAAAAAAAAAATACAAAAGAGCCCACCAACAGGCCAAAAAAAAGAACAAGAAAGCAGGCCTACAAAAACGACATCCCAACAAGGAGCCTAAACTAGCATAATCGAGCACTAAAGGACTCTAATCCAAAACAATGAGACCAAGCAAAAGGGCCCACCAACAGGCCAACAAATAGAACAAAAAAGTGGGCCTACAAAAACAACAACCCAACCAAAGCCTAAAGTAGCCTAATTGAACACAAAAGGGCTCCAATCCAAAACACCGTGATCAAGCGAATAATAGTAAAATCCCTCGAAAATGAGGTCCACGGTGAAGCATTTAACCTAACCAAAGACAATACTTCCTGCTAAGACCTCCCTCTCTCTATGCTAAAGATTCTATTATTCGTCTTGATCCAAATATGCCATAACATGAAGGAAAAGAAACTAGCTCTCAAAAAGACTTTACTAGCATAAGGCAACTATCCCTATTCCGGACCATACTAACTCCAATAGTCTTGGGAAAACGATCCCAAATTGAGCAGGCAAACTGACAACTCCAAAGGATTGGGCTCAAATCCATGGACTTTATCCTAGGACTTCCCAAGACACCTTGTGGTTATGATTCTGTATAAGTAGTTGTGGATCTATTTAGCAAAATGTCTCATTTTTTAGCTTGTAAGAAATCTTCAGATGCGGTTTATATTGCTGATCTATTTTTTAAAGAAATTATAAACCTTCATGGAATTCCAAAAGGCATTGTTTCTAACCCTAATGTAAAGTTTTTGAGTTATTTTTTGAGAACTTTGTAGAAGAAATTTGATACAGGTTTGAAGTTTAGCACCACCAAGCCACCCACAAACGAATGGCCAAACCTAGGTAACCAATCGAAAAATAACAAGAGAAGTCACTGCAATCATTAACACAAGCAAACGATGGTCAAATCGAGGTAACCAAACGAATGGACTTCATCTTTAGCACAAGCAGAATTCACCTAAAATCAAATTAAAAATAGTTCAACAGGGGAGCCCCTATTTGAGATTGTCTATACTAAACTTTCTCATAAAACCTTGGTTTAAGCTAATTTACCTTGCACTATTTATTTTAATCAAAAAGCTGAGCAAATGGCCGAAAGAATCATTGAATTACATAACGAGGTCCAATAACATCTTGAAAATTCTAATCAAAAGTACAAATCTTTGACAGCGACCGAAAATTTTTCAAATTGGAGATCTTGTCATGGTACATTTATGCAAATCAAGACTTCCTACGGGCACTTATAACAAACTTCATTCCAATAAAATTGGATCTAATATGGAGACAACACCATCATTAAATGTCTCCAAACTTTTTGAATGCAAGGCTCCTATTTCAGTTAGCATCTTAACTCAAGGACGCGTTACTTTTCTAAAGGGATGAAAATTGATGTAATCCGTAAGCCTATTACAAAGGCTTAATGGCTTTTATTGTTATAGCTTTATTGTTAGTTTGTTACGCTCAAACACATCCTCATTCATCTTGCAGAGAATCCACTGGGTTTTTAGATTTCTGTTGGAATTCATCCAACATCCCTCAAAAAACTATCCAACCTCTTTTCTGAATCCCAGGTAGAACCAACGTGTTCTTCTTAGCACCCTCATCGGATAAAAAAGAAATTTATGAATACCAACCAAACTGATTAGGCAACTGAAAGAAGAGATCGTCCGGCCACTACAATTGCAGCCAGTACTTCTGCAAGTTTCTAAGGAATGTATATTGTCTTCTTTACCGAATGAGATGGACAAGTAATCAAGAACTATAAATTTAGATGAGAACAAAGAACGATAGCAATGCCTAACAGTTGGTAAAAAAAGACGTGTGGAAAATTGAGGAACATGCTAAAATACAGCAATTCCATATCCGATTCTCAAGATAATGAACAAAAATCAGTGCTATTCTATTCCGGCAAGGAACTGCCCCGCCCACCCCCAGAGCACAGGTGCAGGGCAGAGAAAGATTGTATGCCTAAAACTGCACCTTATTGGGCTGAGAACTTCAACCAAGTAGTAAGTACCACGCCATAGAAAAGTCTCAATTTAGCAACAGAAGACTATAACTACTATAAAGTTCGACACCTGACATGCAGACTGAAAGAATAGGCATTTGCCACATACTATGTCCATCGAGATATTAATAACAATACGGTTTTACCAGACAAATAAACCAAAAAGGATAGAAAGGAAAAAAGAGCTTACGGGTATTCTGGCGGCAAAACGCGAATCTTGGGGCTTTGCAGCAGCTTCTTCTCTATGCAAATAAGGACCAAAACCAAGTTGCCTAGGATGCCACTGCGATCCTATCGACGCCGACGTCGAAGCAGCCGGTGAGTCGCATTCGGTGCTCGAGTGTGCAGGTTGACGATGGTCAGCTTCATCACTGGGGCTAACTTCTTCCTTAGCCATAGCCCAGGCCCGAAATCAAGCTCCAACCAGAGAATTGATATCTCCCAAATCCTCCATTGGAGCTAATTTTCACGCATAAAAAACCAAAACCAAGAACTAGACAAGAAAACGGAAATCAGCGGTCGGCTTCAGTACTGTGCAAGCCGATTTCTCAAATCCCAATTGCATCTATTGTTTCAAAGCCACTCCGAATTCACAAAATCCGCCAACTGAATCCACTCCCATTCTGGTTTTATTTCCTAATTCAATCTCGGCCGCAGCACAAGACGACAAAACCCTCCCAGGAATCCATGGTAATCAATCAAGAATCGATCAATCTGACATGGGCGTATCAGATTGACGATTATCTGAACATCGAAATCCTCCAAATTCCGATCAGACAATAAGCATTAAAAATTGACCCAAAATTCCCAATAATATCCAATCCACCCAACAAAATTAAATTAACGATATAACACAAACGCAAAACTAGAAAATAAAACCCCACAACGACGATCGATGGCGAAGGAGAAGTGAGAGAAAAAAAAAGTGTTATGATGTGCAAACTGGAGAGAGAAAGAAGAGAGAGAAAGAGAGAGATGTTGGGAGGAAATGAATTTTTGTCTATGGGACAATAATGAGTGTATGTTCATCCAACGGGGAAGTTTATTCTTTTTTTTTCTTTTTTTTCTCTTTTTTAATATTGGCTTTTTTTAATTTTTAAATATAAGAAAATGAAAATGAAAATGAAATAATAAATTGTCATTTTGTCACGTATTTGAGAACATGCAAGAGGGGTATTTACATTACGTGTAAACAAATCTCTTGCTTCTATTTATGCAAACGTCAAACCTCCACGATTGCACTCCACATGCTCACTCAAAAATTCGAAAAAAAAAAAATTATTTGAAGAATGGCTTCTACTGGTTTTAAGGACCTTTTTCAACAGGGTGAAAAAAAAAAGAAAAAGTAATTATTTAAATATAATTATCTTCTACTAATTTTAAAAATATTGTTGTTTTTATTTGAGGGGAAGCAAGAGATGATCTTGTTCAAAGGGACGTTAAGGTTTAACATATGTAGCCTTCAAATGTTAAGTCTGAAGTAGATTAAAGGGTGTTGCGATCCTTAGGATTAGAAAGCCTCCCTTTAGAGTGGATGTCTAGCATGAAACTCGACAGCCTATATTTAGGAAAGGGATACTTGTCCCGATATTTTTAAAAATTTCATTTGCCCACCTTTTTTTTCCCCTGTTTTTTTTTCTCTCCCTTTTTTCCATCTATTTCTCTATTTCTCTTTTACTCTTTGAAAAAAAAAACCTATATTTTTATTGTAGGGTGTGACAATTACACTTCTAATATTTACTAAAATCGAACATTTCAAATAGAAAGAAAAAAGAAAGTTGGATACTTCCACCTCTAAACACCTGAAAATTGAACTCTTATGTTGTGTGGAGTGATTCGCAGTAAAAGGGAGGTATGAGCGAGATTTTTCAATTGTGGAATGAGAAATTATTCACGCTGCATGTGTTTACGTGAAGACTTTAAGGAGCTGATTAACAGAAGAGATTACTCATGTATGGTTGAATCCGATTTCATGTGAATGGTCTGACTATTGAATAGTGAGATTGAAGATTTGTTTGAGTTTTGATGGTACATCAATGGGGCGAAGATGCTTGCTCAATAGGTTGGAGTAACCTCGATTTAGTACGTTAGGCAAAATGGAAGTGAAGTGGCTCACGAGATTGCACGTTGGGTGATGGAAAATGAGATATCAATAATTTGAGAAGACGGTTTACCAGATTGACTGTAGGCTTTTTTTTAGTACACCATATGGGGGTGGGAGCAACCTTATGATTGGAGGTATATGCCAATTACTACTGACCTATGATCGCTTTCACGATTCACTTTACTCTTTTAATTTGCCGTGTTAGTTTATTTTTATGCCGTTTTAAAAAAAGTTGAAAATTTAAAATTATATTGACGAAATTGAAGCAAAGACCAAGTGAAATGAATTAATTTGAAATGATTTAACTATAGAACTAATGTAACGCATATTTTCTCGAGCAAAATGCGAATTCCACGGATTGCTGTACTTGAAAAATAAATTGAAACATTTTTCTAGTGCATTAGTTTTGGAACTTCTAAAAATATATTATCAATTATTTTTTGATTGAGGCCAAAGTTGTGGGAGGTATTTCCCGCGAACATTCCTAAATTGTCCATCCACGGGACCAAATTTATAATTTAAAAAAAAAGAAAAAGAAAAAGAAAAAGAATTGACAGTGTACAGATTACAGAAATGCATTTCTATAAGAAGGAACGTCTGCAGACCAAACATTCATACGGGAAAACGAGAAGATCGATCGAACAAACCAACAAAGTGAAGCAGGTGGATCGATTGAGATGGCGATGGTTAGGGTTCCGCAAGTTGCGTTCCGTCGGGTTCTTCCACTGTTCGTTCACCGCGACGTACCCTTTTTGGTTGTCTCCCGGCAAATCACGACCAATTGCGTCCGCACCGCCGCCGCCGCTATTTCCTCCAGAACCACCACCAGTGTCCGTTGTAAGAGCAGTAATGTTGCAAAATATGGCTCTGCTAACGGAACGTTCTCGAAATGGGGTTCGAGTCGGAACTTGAGTATTAGAGCTACTCAAGTGAATGACTCCGGGTCTATCGATTCCCCACTCATGCAGTCAATGGAGAACAAGGTATTTTTATTTAATTTTTGGTTCTTTTTTTCATCGTGTTAGGTTTTATCTTTTTCTATGCTTACCTTTGTTTTAGAAAGCCAAACAATGCAATGTTCTGGATGTTCTTTGAGGGAAGTGTAGGGCAAGTCACGGAGCTAATTGGAGAGGAGTGAAATCTCCAGTTTAGCTTAGGAAATGTTCTTCTTGGGATACTGATGAAGAGCTTAACGCCGAATTTATGCGAAGATTTTTATCATATTTTCATTAGATAAGGAACAACAATGAAGTAATTTAGTTGACAGCATCGTGGGTGAATGTGTTGTTTAAATGCTCAAAACTAATATTTGTGGAGCTCTGTAGTCTGTTTATTTTTTCGGGTGTTACTTGTTTCCCCCTTCTCCAGCACACTTCTATTTTTTTCCCCCTTAAAAACCCTTCTCCAGAATTTTTAATACCTTCTTGCACTATTTTTATGTTTCCAAATATGAGTCTGTTCTCTTGACAAAAACAGTGAAGGAGCTAAAATATTAAAATCCAGCGTGGGGCGTTGTTGATGTGTTACTGATGCAACAGAAGAGATAACTACAAAATTGTTAAATTATATAAATATACAAGCAATTCATAAATCATAGTTAGATAATAAAAGTTGTGCAATCCAAGTCTTACAATTCTTGAAATTATTCTAGTAAAACCTATTTGAATAGAAATTGTTATTTCTTTCTAGAGTTCCTCGGAGTTATGGCTATTCTTTTCCTTTTACATTTTCTTCATCTCTTTCTTTCAAGACTATTAAATTTTTGTTCACTGAGTTGACGTTGAAAATTTCTTTATCAGATTAAGGAACAACTAGATGCACAATCTGTCACTGTAAAAGATGCTTATGGGGATGGACGACATGTTAGGTGAGGACTTTTACCTATAATTGCTTTTAGACGCTTGATTTATCCCAAATGTATGTTTGAGAAAATATTTTATTTTATTTTATTTTATTTTTAAAAGAAAACATTTTATTTTCTCCCATTTGTTCCTTATCCACATTTGGGCTTCTTATCAAATTTGTTTGCCTTCAATCACGGTGTTAAAAGTCCAATAATCTTATGAATATGGAAGTATTTTAGGTGCAATCTAAGGTGGAAAGTTTCTCCCTTGTCTGAAGATAAAAGGAATATTTGTAGGCATAGCTTGAGTGAATTGAGATGCTCATGTTGAATATATAAAACACAAAAAGCAGAAAATATAAAACACAAAAGGTCATGTTGAAAATATAAAATTCATTAAAACATTATTGAAATTGTGGTTGACAAGATTGTATCTACTCTAGTGACTACATAATGATAAGGAATATGAAAAGGACTACATAATGATAAGGGAAAACATATATTTTTTTTTATCAAGACAAAATATATATTTATATGACAATTACTTTGAGAATGAACGAGCAACATGAAGTAAATCAGAAAAGTAGTTTTTGGTCTCAATAGGAATAAATCTCCTGGGCATTTTTCAATGGCGTTCTTTCAAGACATCTGGAGTGCATTGAGGAGGACCCATGGATTATGAAAGGTCTTGAGGGAGTTCCATGAGAAGAGGGGTCATTGATGCTTCTATAAATTAAACATTTGTTTGTCTTATCTCCAAGAAGGAGAATGCAAACAAGGTGAAAGATTTTAGGCCCATAAGTATGGCGACGAGCCTTTATAAGATTAATGCTAAGACTTTAGCATATTAGATTAAGGGTAGTCCTCCATAGTATTGTTTCAAGCATCCAAGGAGCCTTCGTGGTAAGTAGTCAACTTCTGGATTAGGCTAATGGGTGATTGAGGATTATAGGAAAAAGAATTAGGAAGGGGTGCTTTTAAGACCGATTTCAAGAAGCCTAAGATCATGTTTGGATAAGGTCCCTTGGAAGAAAGAGTTTGGGTTTAAGTGGGGATCTTGGATTTGGAGACGTATAAAGTCTGTTAACTTCTCCATCCTTGTTAATGGTAACCTCAGAGGTAAGTTTTTTGCTTCTAGAGGTCTTAGGCAAGGTGATTCCTTTTTGCTTTTATGTTTCTTTTGCTAGTGGATATCCTCGGTAGATAGGAGTGGGGAAGGGTGTTATTGAGGGATTTAGAGTGGGAAAGGAAAGAATACACCTATCCCACCTCTAGTTTGCTGATGACACTCTTTTCTCTTGTTCCTTGAGGCCATCTCGGGCCTTAAGATTAATAGAGAAAAGAGTTATATTATTGAGATAAATTGCGAGGCTTCTAAACTGAACTCTTCTGGCATCTCTGGTGGGGTGTGAGGCGAGTAGTCTTCCCTCTTCTTATCTTGGGCTCTTGTTAGGTAGTAATCCAAAGAGAGTGTTGTTTGGAACCTAGTTCCGGAAAAGATTAAAAAATGTCTCTCTTCTTAAAAATGAGATTTATTTTCTAAGGAGGTTAAAACTAACTCCTACCCAGTTTTGGATGGAATACCAACCTACTATCTCTCTTTTATTAGAATCCATATTTCAGTGTAAAAATCTTGAGTAATCATGAGGGTTTTCTTTGGGAAGGAGCTCATGAGGGTGGGTCACACTTGGTTAGTTGGAAGTGGTCACGAAACCTTTAGTTCAGGGAGGTTTGGGCATTGGTTACCTAAGACTCCGCAACGAGGCCATGTTAGCTAAATGGTTGTGGCATTTTTTTTAACACTCAGTGGCGTAGGATCGTTATGAGTACAGTTTGCACCCTTTCGAGTGGGCCTCGGTTCAAGGGTCCAAGGATGGGTAAAAAAATCTAGAATGCTAGTCTGTCAGGTTTCCCCTCTTTCTTTCCATTTATGAAATGGTATCGAGGATGGCTTGGAAATTTATTTTTGGGGAGATAAACCTCTTTGTACATTGTTCCCTTGTTTGTATCATCTCTCTGATATGAGGTTGCATTTGGTGACCTCTATCATGCCTCCTCGGTCTCTTCCTCTTGCTCTCTGTGTCTAGGCTTTTATTGCCCTCTTTTGAATAAGGAAGCGACAGAGGTGGTAGCTTTTTCTTTCGTTGTTAGAGAATGACACGTTCGTCCGAGAAGGAGGCATATTTGTTTTTGGACTCCAACCCTACTGCGGCCTTTCTTGTAGTTCTTCCTTCCCGACCCTTTGTGTCCCTTCTTCCCCCTACGAGCTGCATCTTCTTTTGTCTCTATTTGGAAGGTAAAGATCCCGAGCAGGTTAAATTCTTTGCATGACAGATTTTACTTGGGAGAACGAACACTTTGGATCGTGTTCAAAGGTGCTCTAATCTCTTGGTGGCCTCGAATTGGTGTTGTTTGTGTAAACGAGCTTTGGAGGATTTTGGCCATATCATTTGGAGATGTGAGTTTGCTCAAGCTCTTTGGAATTGAATGTTGGGGTCGTTTGGGATCTGTTGGATGCGGAATAAGGATTGTAGTTCTATGATGGAGGGGAGGTTCTTTCTAATCGTCCTTTATGTGAGAAGGGTTCCTTTGAGACTAGCTTTTTGCCATGTTGCGGGGTATTTGGCTCGAGAGAAATGACAAAATCTTTAAAGGTAAAGAAAGGTCGTGGGGAGAGGTGTAGGAAGGTGTTAGGTCAATACTACTTGGCATTTGTATCCTGATCCTTTTGTAATTATCAATTAGGACTTATTCTTTTGGATTGAAGTTCATCTCTGCTTAGTTAGAGCTTTGGCTCCTCTCGGGTTTTTATTCGCCCCTTTTATATTCTTTCATGTTTCTCACCGGAAGCTTGGTTTTTCATTAAAAAAAAGCAAGTCATCACAAAAACTACAAGCTAACTAGACCCACATTTTTAGTGTTAACCGTCAGTAAAGATAAGATGTTATTTTACTTTGATTACAATGTTAGAGAGACGTGAAAGCGAAAACCTAGATAGGATATTATTTTACTTTGGAGATTGGGCAAACTAAGCTCCTAAGCTCCCTTAAACATTACTTATGCTTGGGCTCAACCTCCAAACCACATGTGAAGTGAGTTTTTGCTCATACCGTTCGAGTCGAAGAGTGGGGACGGTTTAGGAGAAATGGAGAAATCCAGTGGCAATTGGCTTGGTTGGTGATACAAAGAGCTTGTTTCCTCATTTGGCAATTGGGGCTTTACTTTGATCCCCAATTTTGTAATATTTTATTTTATCAATGAAGCAACCTCCAAAAATAAAAAAATGGGATGAGAGTTAGTTTTTATTTTTTAACAAGAAACACTTTTTATTGATAGACGAAAAGAAAGGAAAAGGTTCAAGGATACAAACTTTCAAAGGAGCGAAAAGAACAAACAACCAAACTAATGAAGCAAAAGTTTCCAAAAATTACGATGGCCAAAACAGAATATGGACGAGTAAATCACCCAAACAAAAAAAATATACCAGAAGCGAAGACCGCTTAAATGAAGAGCCGCTGAGCTAAAGACTAAAATACAACCAGCTTTGGAATAAAAAGCCAAGAAGACTTCGGCAAGAAAGGTTGATCCAATACCCTTAAAAGCATTAGGGTTTGAATTCCTGTTGTTCCTTAGACTCACAGAGTGCCCCCCAAAGTTAAAGCCCCCTTGGCTAAGCTGATTTGGAAGGTCATTTTCCCAAAGAAAGTCCAAGTCTTTTTATGGAGTTTAGCCTACAAAAGTCTCAACACCCATGAGATCCTACAAAAGAAGCTTTCAAATTTAGAGGTCTCAAGTTCGAACTTTCTGGTGAGCTTAATAACAAAAACCTTTGATGTCTTTCAGGTCCGGGCTTTGGGGAAAGCACGGGTGCCCCTGGGTATAGGGGAGCAAAGCTCCGACTCCCAGTTATAAAAAAAAAAACTTTCAAATTGGTGTGCTTCATCAACGGTGTGCTGTTTTTGCTACAAAGTACCGGAATCTGTGGACCACATTTTTCTTCACTGCCGTACAACTTCGGATTTGTGGTCTTTCTCGTTTAAAGAATTTGATTATGCTTGCTATATGCGTAAGGGGGTGGAAGTTTGGCTTCAGGAGGCCCTCGTGGGTAGTTTCCAAAGGCAAAAATTCTTTGGGGTTCTGCCGTTAGAGCCATCTTGTGGAGCCTTTGGAAAGAAAGAAATAGCCAGGATTTTTACAACATGACTCGTTCTTTTGATTCTTTATGTAATTGTGTACAAATTACTGCTTCTACTTGGTGTCTAAACCATGTATTTTTCTTTAACTATAGTCTTATGATGCTTATACATGATTGGAAAATTGTGCTCTATTAGTTTTTTGTCGGGCAGGGGGCTCTCTCATCCCCCGGCCTTTAGGCTGTCCCTTTTTCTCAATATATTTCTTCATTTCCTATCAGAAGAGAAAGCAGTAGAAAGCGGAATTCCAGAAGTTCAAGTTCTTCAATAATGTTATTTAACCCTTTCATGCTGTTAGTTCTTCTCCCCCCACTAGATCATTTACATGACCAACAAATAATGTTGAAATCCCTCCAATACACCCAAGGTCTGTATAAGAATTCAGGGACTTTAACTGGTTTCATAGATGCTTTCTTTATGCATAATCTGTTGGACTATATACATTTGAAATCCATACTTTCTGGCTTAGAAAGGAGATCTTGATAGATATACAATAACTACCTTTCATGACTTCTGAAACACTGATTCTTATTTTCATCCCAAAGAATGAGCATGCCTGTGGAACTTTCCCATTATTCTACCATAGTCCAGCCAATATCTTTAGAATTCCATAAAGATTCGATCATTCTTCTATCAACCTTGTCAGGCTTCGATTACCAAATCTGGACAGTGAGAGTTAAAAGTCTTTGGGAGCAATAATCTTTTTTGACCTCCCAGGCCTCTGGTGTCCCATGTATTATCTTCATACCTGCAGTTTGCTTAGCAACAAAAAATGATCAGTATTACAAAAATTAGATCCCTGTTACTGCTTTTGACCTTAATTTCAAATAAAGAAACAACTTTCTCAAAATATTTAGAAAAAATTGAAATTTCCATATTCCACTATGGGAACGTTGACCTCCTTTACAGCTTTTGAAGTGGTCTCAGCTAAAACAATCTCTGAATTTGGAGCCTTAGTGTTCTAATTAAGATCAATAGAAGGAATTTCTGACCTGTCCAATGCTTTATCCTCATTTAATAAGTTGAACAAACGTTCTTTGTACCTGTTTCTCATTGAAAAAAAAAACAAACAAACTTTCTTCATATGAGTCTTCATTGTATTAAAAGTTCGACTCTTCAGTTGCCAAAAAATTGCTCTTGGATTCAATGCTTCGTAATCTTTCCCATCTTATTTCATTTGATCAATGAAATCGTCTTGTTTCCCAAAAAAAAAAACTAATATCAGATTTTTCGTTAAGATCATAATAATCATCCAAATTTATCTTCTTAGAATTTTCACTGGTTGAGAAATTAGATCCTTTTGAAAGAGAGAAATTGATCTTGACTTTTGGGAGCTGCATGCATTAATTCCGCTGCCAATTGATGACCTTTCAGGGCTGATGTCTTACCTTTTTTAAAGAGATCTTCATGCAAAGAACAATCATTAATAATGCATGGCCCCTCTGTTTGACCAACCTCTTTATCCAATGGCAGTGAATTAAACTCATCATTTAACTCACCATTAAAATCCGTACTCAAATTTCTGCCGTTAATGTTTGCTTTATTCAGAAAGTTAAACCACCATACTTTCTTCGAGAACAGAATAGTGGAAAAGGCTCTGTTAAGAATCTTTTTAGGCTGAACTTTATTTTTAGAAAAAGAGATGACTTGTGGACTTCCAAAAGTATTCTTAATTGATTCCGAATTTGAATCAGTTATCACTTGCTCTATAGATCCGATTGAATAACAACTGCATCTAGGACTCATCAATAGTTACCCTTTCTTTCAAAGAAACAATTTCAAGTTTATTCACCAACTTTGAAATTGCATGCCAGCGGACTTTTCAGTTTCCACATGCTGTCTTCGGATAATTTTCTTAATTTGGCCTGAAAATTCATTCTCAGGTGAGGTCACTTGTCCTGGGCTTATTAGCATTACTTTTTTGAGTCTAGAAATAAGAACTTTTGCAAACACCTCGTATGGAAGTGAGACACATAGGGCTTATACTCAAACACCCTCTTGGCATTTTTTGTTTTTTGCTAAAGCACAGATTATGGGTTCACTTTCCTCCAAATCTCTAATATTTAAAGTTTCAAGTTAGCATTTTCATAAAATGATAATAGTCCCTCTCCTTTGGTTATTTGAAGACTCCCCCTTCTTGCCAATGATTGATGTCCTTAAGTTCTTAAACTCCTAAGCCTCTAAGGCCGATTTAATCCACTAATTAATTGATCAAATGTCTTACCTTTAAACTATCTACGCGAACATCTCCTTGTGCATTCCTCTTAAAGAAGTTGATGAAGTCATATTGGTTAGTGAAAAACCGGGGACAGCTTCATCTGGTAGACACTTATTTGAGATTGTTAACTGCTTCATTTCATAGTTACTACTCATTCCAGATTGTTGAGAAATCTGCATATTATTTGTCCTTCCTTATACTCTTTAGTATTAAGTTTGTATGGTTAAGTATAACACTTGGCTTCATAAGGCTATCCAAGAACAAGTCAAGTTGAATTGATTACTAAAATGAGTTGATTTTTGGTTGCAGCATTGATGTTATTTCTTCAGCCTTTGAGGGACAATCGGCTGTAAATCGGCAGAGGATGGTGTACAAAGCTATTTGGGAGGAGCTGCAGAGCACAGTGCATGCAGTGGATCAGATGACCACCAGAACACCCGCCGAAGCAGCAGTCAAGAATTCATAATTTTAAAAGTTTGTCCAAGCCTCCATTTGCCAATAAATTCCTTACAATTAAAGTATGCTCTCTTATTATTCCTTTTCAGTAGTTTATTAATCGCAGAAGTCTTTACCTTTTGATATTTCCTTCAAGCCCGGTGGTCTAGGAATCAGCCGGCTTGTTGTGAATTGGTACTCAAAACCTTCTTTGAAACATCAGACTTAGAAACTTCAAATATCTTTCCCAGTGAAACCGTATATCCAGCTTGAGATCTCTCTATTTTGGAGCTCAAGACTGATTTATGTTAAAGGTATTTATAGAAGATTAAGCTCAAAACTGATTTATGTTAAAGGTATTCATAGAAGATTAAATTTACCGTAACCTATTAACTTAAGTTTTTGGGTTGACTAGCGACTTGAGGTTTTGTGTTCGAACTTTTGTAATGTCATTTCCTCCCATTAAATATTGATTAACACTTGTTGGTGGCACAAGTGAACTTTAGGGAGACTAACTATAAATAATCGGCATTTAAAAACTAACTTGAAGATTACACTGTAGGTTTTTATTTATTTATTTATTTAAGAAACAACTATGATAAGATCTCAAAAAAGAACAGCCGAAGGGCAGAGAGTGGATATCACCCTCCCCACAAACTAGACCAGACCAAAGTAGCTTTCCAGTATTTGACAATCATAAAAAGACTGTAATTACAGAAGAATTTATTGTGGCTTGTAGCCGATCAAGAGGCCGTGTGTTGTACACTATAACAAAAAGAATTCCGAGTATACTTTTCCTTCAAAAAGTCTACTGTAGGTATTTTCAAATAACCCTAGAAATATTAGTTCCTTTTGAATTTGATTCTTTGAAATTTTAAATTCGGAAAAAAAAAACATAATTAAACATGTAAATTGACCTGTTGCAATTGAGAATATAATTTAATGTGTACAACATTTAAAAATACCAAAAGAGTATTCTAGAAAAATTGTGCATATTGAATGAAAATCTCTGAAGAAGTCGGTTTGGAATTTGGGAGGTAGTAGATACATGTATTCTAGAAAAATCGTGCATATTGAATGAAAATCGTGCTCTGCCATGGCATGCTTATCCTTCTTTTGGTTTCTCTCCATCTAAAAATAACCCTAGTTGAAGATTTCTTTGTGGTTCTCGTCATTTGAAGAACACATATAGCATGGTGCCATCTTCAGGTAGGAGGGCGTCTTCTTTGTTATTGACAAGAACAACCTCTTCAATTAGAACTGCTTGTTTATTGTCATCGTGTATGTACTCACAATTAAAGAATCGATGCATTTGTGGTGAATGTTAGTGACATGGGAGCTTAAATCTCTATAATATGTTGTCTTTCTCTATAAGTCTTTGGTAGAAGGTAGTGTTGAGCCTATTCATTAGAAATACAGTTTAAAATGTCGCAGTTTTAATATTGTTTGGCTTTATTATATGATGCAAGAGGGCTCGATTCTCCTCCAAGACTCCTTCAGCTGAAACCTTCTCCCTCTGCATGTTAGAAAGCTCAGATCCCATACGATGAGATGCGGAGCAGACCCGCACGCTGCTAGCCTGAAAGGTCGGTTGTTAACATCACAAAGTTGTAAAAGATGTTATTGATAGTAAAAGGAAAGAAGCATACCTACGAATATCATAGATGGCCTGGCAGAGCTCAACGATCAGGCTTGCTAGGTTCCAACGCTTCAGGAGCCTGATAGGGCCCCGAAAAGTTGAAAGCAGGGAGTTGCAGGTGTGAGACCCTCAGCTCGATGAGATTCGAATGTCGGTGGTATAGGAGGCCCAGCTAGGATAGGTGTCGTTTTCGGCAGGGGAGCTCGAGCAGAGGGTGCAGAGGACGAGCTGCAGCAATGGTTGTCGCAACTGGCAGCCTGCTCGGGGCAGGCGTCTCCTTTGAGAATTGAAGCCAAAATTAAGTTATAAATATTTATTCATTTTTATTTTCTCATTCCTTTGATTTCGGTAATTTAAGATTTACGGAAGGCTAACCTATCAAAACTAGATTGAAGCTCACTTTCTGCATTTTATCGGGAGTCAGTAGAATTAAAGCCAATAAAATAATCCAACACAATTAGAATAATCAATACTCACAATAACAGCTTCGTCCAGCTATAAAAGCACCCCTCAATTGACCACAAAAATTTCAGACTGTAGAAACTCAACTAGTAAGTGTTCTTTTCACCAATTATTTAATTCGTTAAAACTAAATTTAACTCACCTAACTTTAAATACATGGGTGAAAATGAGCTTAGGAAAGACATAGTTTAAATGCGAATTTGAACTACACAAGTTTTCAACCATAAAATTCCATCTGATCTATACAATAGTTTACATGATTCATTTCCTGTTATTATGATGCATCCGTGAGATGATTTTTATGTTTTTTTAGTTTTTCATGTTTATCGTATATATTTTATTTGTTGCAGATGTTAAATGAAGTAATGTGAGTGTTCAAATGATGAGTATGATTTATTATTATTTCATACTTTATGATAAAATATTTATTTATTTTACCATGTGATAAATTTGTAAATAATTATTTCACTTACAATTGACAATGAATTTAAGACTTAGTGTTGGATAAATAACTCAAGCAAGGGGTCATTGTTTAGTTGGAGTGCCTCAAGCCACCTAAACTATCTCTTTGTGAATGTTAGATAAATAACTTGATTAAATTTATTTTAAAATTGTGAAATAATAAGGGTCTTTGACTCTTGTCTATCGAAATTGAATTACTTCAGCTCCCAAGAGGATAACCCTAAAAACAAACCACCACAAGGAACTGTCGAAATTGAATTACTTCAGCTCCCAAGAGGATAACCCTAAAAACAAACCACCACAAGGATCGGTGTAATGTCCTATTTCTGAATCCATGGAGTTTAAACCCCCCAAGCTTCAATGATTCTATATAAATGTATCATCATTCATTGTAATCTCAAAATTTATATACAAGTTATCAATGCACAATAGTTTTGGGTGATTTTCTTTGCTATGGCAAAAGGAATGGCTGTACATGAATTAATGAGTATTTAAACACAATTCATCTTTCCTTCACAATGGCCAACCAGAGCTAATTAATGGATGGCAACATTGGATTCATTCCAAGACCAGATCCTCCAAAAGTACCTGGTTCTGCATGCTTCACTCTTCCAAAATATCGTATGTGACGCAGTAGCCTCGCCAAGAAGGTATTTTGACATATTGTCGAGCTATCGCAGACCACCGCTACGTGTTTTCTTGCCCTTGTTATGGCCACGTTCATCCGCCGACTGTCTCCCAGAAACCCAACAGCTCCAAGATTGTTTGACCTTACCTGATAGAATAAGCACAGAACATTATATAAATTTTACATTGTAAAAACATTATTGACATCTTGAATGCTCCGTATGACCTTTCATAAAATCAAAACAGAGATTTTTGCCACAAACATGATTCTGTTAAAGAAAATGACACTGCAGAACCATCCTGCAAACCTTACAAAAATACCAATCAATTATTAACGCTTAGCTTAGGAGTTAGGGCTAACCATTCTATACACTCCCTATATATATATATTTTTAATGAGAAACCGAAATTTTTATTGAGAAAAATAGAAAAAAAAAAGAATATTTCAGGACATTAAAAAACAACAGCCTAATGAAAGGAGACCTACTCAAAGACAGGGGCTCCAATCCAAAAAGATAATACTAATGGTTCATCCTTCCGATAAAGCAATGACGGCCGCACAATGCACAAAGGAGAAAGAAGAAGTCAAGAGTCCTCTCCAAAATCTCACCCTATTAACCATTCTGGCAAACTTTAACAACAAACCTTTTGGAACTTCCGAACTGATGCAACATGGGAAAGGGAATTTTTAATGAAACGTCATCTAATCAACGATCATCTGATAAGCTTTTCCTAAGATGAGATCTAAGAGAGGGCTAGGTAATAGAATTACGAGGACAAAAAATGGGGGAAGCTTGGAAGAAATGTAATGTTGGATTGGACCCATGTGACTAATTAGGACAGATTGGAAAGATAGAGGAGCTCCTAAATTTCCTTGACTGTACTTGTTTTTCAGGTAACCGACAAAACTACTACTTCAAATCTTATCAAAGATGTGAGAGTTCCTAAAATAAAATGGAGTGCAGAATCAAGGGAATGGAGATAGATCTTTCAGAAATACAACAATCTCTAGTGTCAACAGTGTGAAGGATACAAGACTAAATGAAAACAAGGGATTAGATGCTTTAGAACTGTGATGAAATAAACCCTTTGTACTACTCTCACAGATCTATATAATCTTTTGTTTCTTACCCAACAAAAAAAACTGTGATGAAATAAATGGAGATGTGGTGCAATTCCAAATCGGCAGGAAACAAACATCGAGACAAGAACAGAAAGGAAAAGCTCCTAATGGAGCTACTTCTGCTGGAGCAAAGGAGGATAGTGATGATAGGGTAATGGTGGAAAACTAGTGAGGTGATTCGAGACGTGAATATTTAATGGAGAAACGAAGAGCTAAGGGACTATTCGATCTGAGCAGAGAGGTAATTCTAAGCAAATAAGAGGTAGAGATGATTGGTGCGTAGCAATTTGTTTAAAAGGAGAAGTGTTTCCCCACTTTCATAAGGATGAAGGCCAAAGACCATTCTAAATCTAGGTGGACTTACATCACCAACTTTTTGAGTCAATTTGGACCTGCAGGGAGGGAACTTTGTGTGAAAAATTTCCCGCTCATTGGAAAACTATGATGGTACAACGAAGTCAACTGCAAACGTGTTAGTTAGATCTTGTTGCAGAGTTTGTCAATGGGTTGAAGATAAAAATCCAGGCAGAAGTAAGGATGCTACAACCTTTGAGCCGAGGTTCAAAAATGGGTCTGGCCCAAGCAATCGGAATGGGACTCATTCCTTAAATATATTACATCAACATCCTCACCATTAGATTACTGGAACGAAATCACAAGACAAATTATTCAAATACACAATGACATACCAGCAGAATTGATTAGTTCACCAACATGAGCCATAATAATGATACGCATGTATCCTTTGTCCTCTCGAAGTTAATTCACCAATATAACACTAGCAGCAAAGCCTGTCCTTAAAATGGGAACTAGTATATCTGTCTTAATTCATTTGCAAGATCTCACTTTATACTTGACCCTAAGACTGTTATTTAGTGAATGACCACTACAAACCAAGGACCAAAGACAATGAAAGAGGAGACGGAGTAGAAGTAGGAGCTTGCATGCCTTCTTATTTTGTTTTAATTTTTTTTTTTTTTCATAAGAGCAGGGGCAGAATCAAAGCAAATAAATTCTGAGTTCATGCCAAACACAGAGAAGAGGCTTGAATTATTTGTAACCAAAAAATGGAAGTTGTATACGGCTTTGATATTTGATAAGAAGATAAAGGGAAGGTACTAAATCTTCTATAAGTTCTAAAGAGTACAATTGTCATTGAAAAATGTGTAATAAGCCCACTCAGACGCCCATGGTCCTTTTAATAAAAAACGAAGGAAATTATCAATGTTGAGAAACTTAGAATGGTTCTACCTCTTGAAGAAGCTATATCTAGCCAACCTCAATTAATCTACTTAAAGGCAGTCAGCTTGATATAATTAATTAGTGGAAGAGAGAAAATACAAGATTTAAATAATAAAGAAAAAGAATTCCCATATACATGTAGACATGTAATTCATACCCATGGTCAAGAAAATAATGTAGTTGCAAATTATGTATATGTATATCCTACCATTGATATGATTACTGCATCCGCCTCCCGCCCTTGGAAGCTATCAATGGTGGCTACCTCAATGCCAGCAGCTTCGGGAATTTCATCGAGCTTGTTCCTCAAAAGTTGTACCTGAGCAACATAAGGAGATTGGACAGCAATTGCTCTTGGACTGACGCCTGTGGCAGGATTTAGAACAGAAAATCTCAATAAAATCTTTCATCCAAGATAGAAGTAGGAGAAGATTAAAGCCATTTGAATATCATAAATGCCTACTAAAAGAAGAAATAAAAAGTTCTATCTAATGACCCAATTCCTCCAAGATGCTGATGGGTGAAGTTAAGAAATCTCAGGCAGTGCACTCTTTCCGACACCGACCAATAGACAATCCAATGACAAATGTGAGATGCTTGGCAGAGATGGGGGAGGAGAGAGCTTATAAAAAATTAAAACATGTACAAGATCCAGAAATACCTTCTATGATTGTATTAAACTAAATCACAACAGATGTGCCCATATAGAGCATCCTTGCATGAACACCAAACTTCATGCATGGATTGCGGGCATTTGAGTGTGGGATGAAAACTGCTTTGTTAGAGTGGTGATAACAGATGAGAACAGTTATGGAGGAACTAGCTGAAATTATTTTGAAGGAAGTAAGGCCGTGGGCTCAAAACTGTAAACAACAATGGATTTTAAATGGAGATGAGAACACCAACCTCTTTCAGGAGAGGTTTTACGGGATACAGCTAGCTTGATTTCCCTGATGAAAATTTGAACTCTTTTCAGAAGGGTAACAGGGAAGACAAAATTCTATGGAATCTCGAAAGTAGGAAGATGTTCTCAACTAATCTCTCTAAGAGAAAGCTCCCCAAAGATCAAGGCTCCCATTATTAATCTTATTTGGAAGTTCAATTATCCAATGGAAGTTAAAGTTCTTTATTTTTATTTTATTTTATTTTTTTTGTGGAGCTTAGCTTATAGAAGCCTAAACACCCATGAGATCCTTCAAAAAAATGTTTCAAACTGGAGTTTTTTGCCTTGGGTGCGCTGTTTTTGTTACAAAAACTCAGAAAAACAGGGCCATCTTTTTCTTCATTGCCCACTGCTTCTGGTTTTTGGTCCCTCATGTTTAGAGAGTTTGGTTTTGTTGGCTGTTTGCCTAGAAGTGTGGAAGAATGCTTCTAGAGGTGCTTCAGAGGTGGCATTTCAAAGGAAAAACACAAATTCTTTGGGGTTGTGCAGTTAGGGCTCTTTGGTGGTGTCTTTGGAAAGAGGGAAATGATTGGGTTTTCAACAAGATACGTTCTCCTGATTCTTTTTGAAATATGGTACAAATTACTGCTGCTACTTGGTGTCTAAACTACAGGATTTTATTTTATTTTATTTTATTTTATTTTTGATTTTTGATTTTT